TTTATTTATTTGAGAGAGAGGCACAAGCAGGGGGAACAGCAGAGGGAGACAGAAGCAGACTCCCCACTAAACGGGGAGCCTGACGCGGGGCTCCATCCCAGGACCCTGGGATCATGACCTGAGACGAAGGCAGCCACTTAACCAACGGAGCCACCCAGGCGCCCCCACAACTGTGGTCTTACCTCTTTAATTAAGAAGCCAGATCTCCAAGGACAGGGACCAGGCCATGGCATTCAAGGGCCTCCTTCTGACCCCCGTTATTTTAGATCATCTGTCATCTCTTGTCAGGATTAACAGACAAGCCTCCTATTCCGACAGATGAGTATCTCAGGAGTCTGGTCTTTGCCCTGTCAGAACCAGAAGGCTCATCTAAGGTAAGTTCTACCCTCTGTCTTTAGTTTCCTAATCCCTAAAAAAGAGGTTGGGAGACATTGGTATTAAACTGCTTTCTCTTTTCCTTTCTTTTTTAAGATTTTATTTATTTGAGAGAGAGAGAGAAGGCACACACAAGCAGGGGGGACAGACAGAGGGAGAGGGAGAAGCAGACTCCCTGCTGAGCAGGGAGCCTGACATGGGACTCAATCCCAGGACCCCAGGATCATGACCTGAGCCGAAGGCAGACGTTTAACCAACTGAGCCACCCAGGCGCCCCTAAGCAGTGATTTTGAAAGAAATCAAAAGACAACAATAGCAGGAAAACAAGAGCAAGAACTATGGGTAACAATAGTCTTCTAAAACAACTTAAACCAGGGTCTTGGTGGCCAAGTCCAGATGAGACTATCTTAAGACATGAGAATAGGAAATAAAATTCAGTCTACCTAAGACTCACTATATTCTTCACATAAAGGTTCTCCGAGACCTTGACCAGATAAGGCAATTATGTCAAAGATAAACTCACTTGGAAATTTATGAATAATCTATCACACCATTTTTATTAGAAATTATTCATCAAAAATAAAAAAGAAATGTATAAAACATCCTCTAGAAAGAGGGGTTTTGTGATAACTATAAGCATCAATAATAACATTTAACCTGAGAAAGTACTTTTTTTAAAAAGCACTCGTGCCCAGGTGCCTGGGTGGCTCACTTGGTTAAGCGACCGCCTTCAGCTCAGGTCATGATCCTGGAGTCCCGGGATCGAGTCCCACATCCGGCTCCCTACTCAGCGGGGAGTCTGCTTCTCCCTCTGACCCTCTTCCCTCTCGTGCTCTCTCTTATTCTCGCTCTCTCAAATAAATAAATAAAATCTTTAAAAAAAAAAAGAAGGTGCTCAAAAAATATATTTATAAAAAAAAAAAGCACTCGTGCCCGATGGCCATGGTAGCTGCTGTTAATTATGAAGGGATTTTATCTTCATTCTAGCAGGTCCCATAGGTCTCCATTTATTAATAGTTATTTATTGAAAGTAACTCCAATTTTTCTTAAAAACAAAGACAGCAATCTAGTGTTGCCACTAATTTAAAGGAATGCATTAACTGACTAGAGCAGCGGTTTCCAAAGTGTGTTCCATGTGACTACATTTCCATGAAGAAAAGGGCCCCAGTGAACATCAGCACATGAAAACCTCTAAGAGGGTCCAGAGTAAAGGGGCCTGTTGTACTCTGTTTAACCCGGTTTTCTAACTGACCCTAGAATCTTTTTTTTTTCCCCTCAAGGAAAGCGTATGAACATCTTACTTCATTAGTGCCCCCATGGAACACTGCCATGGAAGTCACTCGGGAAAATGCCACTTACGGGGTCTAAAACCCTCTGACTATACCACCCACCCACTTTCCTTTCTCACGGGAAACAGATGGAATCAGCAGATACTACTGCATGTTGGCAACGTACACAGGGATCTGTGTGCCCAGATCCTTCCCAGTAGACGGGTCCATATCTGCCACAAGGGGGAGCGGAGAGTCCCTGTTAAAAGTCCCCTATGTTCAGAAATCAGTGTGGGGTGTTACAGCCAGATCCCCCCCTCACCCAAAGTAAACTCTCCCCCTAAGTAATTTCTTCAGAGCAAATCAAAACCACCTGAATGCCTTCAGATAGTGCTAAACCCAAAATAACTATAAATTCTGAAATTACTTCGAGCCTCTGGTATACGTACTTTCCTTCTTCATGTGAACCACATCAAGAAATCCCCTAAGAGCCCCAGCAAACTAATACACTGCCCTGCTTTGGTTTTCTGCGTGCACCTGACACCACTACTGACAAGCAGATTATTACAAGGTTAGAGGGGAAGAAAGAAAATGGAATCTCAGGAGCGCCTGCTTGCAAAGCATAAAGCAGAGGGTCAGGTACATGGTAATGTAAGAGACTGCCACTAGCATTACCATGACAGTGGTTATCTTGATATTCACCAGAGAACACACAGCCCACGTTCCAAGGACTGTGCCTCCTGAGTTATAAATCAAATCAACAAGTCTTTGCTGGGCACCTACAGGGCTGGGCTGCATTCGTCACACTGTCTTTTCTTCACATTTCATTAAACATATCTTCTTAGAATTCAGAGAGAGAAAGAGAGAGGGGGAAAAAAAAAGAAATCCCTTAAGAGATTCCATTTTCTCAGTAAGGAAAGTTACAAAGGAATGCAAAATGGGTTCATTTTTGCAAGCAAAATGAAATGTTTTTATGTTTTATTCATGCAAAGTGAAAACCCCTTTCCTTTGCAGCATTACAAATTGAATTTGCTCTTGTAAATTGCTGTTAAAAAAAAAAGAATCAAGAGCAAAAGAAAGTTAAAAAAAAAAAAAGCAGGAATACAAATGCCCCTTCTTCTAGGGAAGGAAAACTCGGGGGACCAATGGGGAGAAACAGAAACTTTCACTGGCAAACATACTTTTTTTAATTTATTGCTTCCAAAAGCAATCCAACTCAAGGAACCCCCAACACGATGCAGGAACTTGAGGTCCTGACAGCCACTGTGGAACCCTGAGGGAATTTCTAAATTATACTTATCTGTTAACATTGAGTAAGAATAAGAAGTGGTTTCAAAAACATGGTTAACCCAGCCCACATTTCAAAAACATAAGCAAGGTAATGTAGCTGAATTTACAGTGCTGTCACTGGGGGGCAGCGGTGGGGGGCTCTTCTTGCCTTGTAGCATAACTGAACTCATGAGGAACAGCCCCTCATCCCCTGTATCAAATGATCAACTGTCTCTGAAACCTCCCTAAGGTCTGACCCCTCCCATATTCACCCTGTCTTTGAAAGGAAGCCGTGTAATTAGCTGCAGCTGCTTGTGTATGTTCCCTCAATGAATCAAGAGCTAACATTCATTAGGCATTTGCCACGTCTCCATCACTGTGCCAGTTACGATACATACACAAAAGCGCATATATACACATGCCCTGTGGTCCCTCTTATGAACCCCATTTCACAGATGAGAGAAACTGAGGCTCAGAGCTTGAATAATTTTGTCAGTTGGAGTTTGAATCCTTTGCTCTCTGAACTTGTGGCATTTGGCCTCACTTTAAAAAACTGGGTAGCATGAAAATGTCACCAGTGAAATCTGGTCACAGCCTAACCTAAGAAAACACAACCCCATCTAGTTGTACATGTATATAATGATCCTCACCGGGGCTCCTGCCTTAAAAACAACCCTGGGGGACACGGACCAGGATTACATCCTTCCGTTAAGGCTAAACATTTCTAATGATGAGCAAACATCATCATCGGGTATTTTCCTTGTAAAATTCATCAATTCATGTCAACTCATCAACTGCAGTGTTACAGTTTTGCCAAGCAAGTGAATGACAGGTGTGTATGCATAAATTATCCACTCATCCCCCACCCCGGCCCCCCACCCCCCATGCACCTGGCCCAACTGCCACTGCGTTCATCACTCTGTGACAGAAGCTCAAAGACATAACTGTGCTCCCGGGAAGGTTTATCCAATCAGAGGTCAGAAGACACTTCAGCCTTCTCTTTTGCAGACCGTTTCTTATGCCTGGTTATAGCAAAAATGCTTGTTCTGAGACTGAGAAGTGTGTAACCATTTTTTCTTTCTGGCTTGGGACTTGGAACAGCATCAGAAGACTACTGAACCCACAAATGCCCAGCCCTGGTAGCCAAAGGCTGGGTGGGATGAGGCAAGGCAGAGCCCCCAACAGAGGATCTCATGACCCAATAAACCAGAATGCCCAGGAATGGAACCACAGGCCCGCAGGGTCATCTTTCTCTCATCTGGGATTTTCACCTCCTTTTGTCCATTTTCAACAAAGCAATAACTAATTATCCTATACCTGATCCCTAAATGCTAGGCGATCCTCAGGTACCTTGGGAGTTGCCAAAGACGAGCTATAATTTAAGAGCTAAATGCATTCAACGTAGCCCAGTTACTTAATAATGGTATCCAAGGATGATGTCTGCAATAACTGTTATTTCATTATTTAGAATATATACGTATTTGAACTTCCTTATTTGCAGTCATCCTGGAGAACAGACAATTCACCACACGTCTAAGAAGCACTTGCTATAAATAACAAATTTTCAGTAGAATGTCAGAGAAACACACACTGAATGGAATCTTGACGTGACTGGACATTTCAAATGGTAACAAAGTTCGGCCGACCCCAAACCCCAGAAGTTCCTGCTCACCGTGGTTTAATGATCTAAAGCTTGTGGCACAACCTCTCCCTTCAAGCAAGCCCTCTAGGAAGGAAGCACCACTACGAGGGCTTCTGAAATGGCCAAGATGAACCCAGACTGCAGAGAAGAGAGAAAAAGAAGGGCAGGGGTCCAGAGAGCCTGGGTGAGTTGGCAACGGAGATGCAGAGCATGAGGAGGAGGAGAAATACGCAGAACTCAAAGACAGGATCCAGAGCCGACAACAGGTCTGAGGTTCAGAAACCGTGAAGGGAAGGCTTAGGAGGCAAGGAGAGAGAGGTGCTTTTCTTTTTTACATTTCTAAGGACAGTCTATTGTCCCCTTTGATGTTCAGTGATGGGCAACAACAGCGAGACCACGCTTCGGTGCTGAGGTGACAGGTGACGGCAGCACCCCTGGGTACTCACCGGCCATTGTCGCGGCCCACGCCCCACACTCGGATGCTGGCGATGGGCTGAGAGTGGAGCACGGTGCGGTCCATGGGGTCCACCAGGCTGAGCGTGTCGTTCTCCAGGATAAGGTACATGTCTTTCCCCTGGGAGTCAACGAGAAAACAGGCTCTCTTCCTCAGGAATCTATGCTTGGTGACACGGCTATCTAGGGACATCATTGCAACGATCAAAGGAAGCCACACTTTGAGTCTGTAATTTGTTTTCCTAAGAGAGCAACATCCTCTCCTGACTAAAATATGCATAAATCTTTCATATGCCTCACACATACCTAGTTCCTCTCTCCCTCTCCACGCCCTCTGAAATGTGTCCCCAGCCTGCCTTCTAGTCGGCTCTTGTTTTTAATTATTTACGATTCTGAATCTTGGCTCTGAGAAAAAAGGCTAATGGGTGGTTCCCTGGAGAATCTGGTCTTTCGCTAATGCCAGGCCTGTCATTCTCATAACCTGTGTCTCTGTCCCTTCCTCTCTGGTCAGACCCTACCAGGCCTGCCCCTGACGGCCTTCCCCCAATCACAACCATTCCATCCCTTCTTGGTGTTGACAGCACTTCACATCTAGGTGATTTGGCTGACCAATCACAGGTGCTTTGTGACTTGCTTGGTAGTACAACAGCTCACGTTTCTAGAAGTTGATCACATCTCAGATATTATGCCATGGGCTTGGGGCACACTGGTTTGTGATCCTTCCAACTTGCCCTTAGAGCTTGGTGTGTTATTATCGCCAATTAACAGGTAGGGAAACTGAGGCTTCAAGGTTAGGCAACTTGCTCCAGAAGCTGGGAGACCTTGAGTGACACGGATACTACCGTAATACCAATGCAGTGGGAGGCCGAGGCTTCTCATCGCTTGATTGCTCCTGTCTCCCCACATGGGCTGGCTCTTTGGGGGCAAGAACACTAGACTATTCAACTTTATTCTCCTTGTAATTCCTCGGGCATAATTTGAGAAATTATTAAACATCTGCTGTTCACTAAAGGACGCTGTCTCCTTTCCTCCAGCCTTAGCTGAGGCCAGCTGCTTGGCGGTCTTCAGGAGATGCAAGATCGCTGAGCCCCGGAGAGCTGGGAACAGGGGAGGGGGCAGGTCCCAGGTCCTGCCGGTGCCAAGCAGGTGATGTGTTTTGGGAGAACTGACAGCTGTTTGGGAGAACTGATAGATGTCTGGTACCTCCTCCCCTCTCTCTGCCCTCCCCCAGGAATGAAGCATTGACCGCAGCCTAAGAGACCTCCTGCCAGACCCGCTAGTGAGCAGCCCCCAGGACAACTCCCACCTGGTCACCACCACCCCATCTCCGTGCAGCTGCTTCGTGGCAAACACCGTGCAGACACTAACAGACTTTGAAAGCCTCTGTTTTCACGCTTTACGGGATGTCACCCACAGGGAGACCTGGTCCCCCTCACTGAGCAGGGTGTTGTGTTTCCTTTGGGCTAACTCCGCTTAGAAACCCCCACCGGTCCTCCCAAAGGTCACAGAGACTGTCTTCATGGGTTAACAAGACTGATCCTCCCTGCATTGTTGGGCAGAACCAACGACGACGTCCAGCGGGTAGTCTAATGTGAGAATGGCTGGTTGAACGTGGCGTGTCCCTGAACGAAAATATGGCTTGGCTCCTGAGGAGTCATTCAGCACATACAAGTCTTCCCAGGCTCATCCTATCACTTTTCCCATCAACACACCACGGCTCCTGGTTGACCACTGTAAAGTCTTGCCAATCGGTTTTTGTTACCAAAACAGCAACGCTGACGCAGCTGTCATCTACAGATGAGACACTCATCCGACGGTCATGGCTTTATTTTCAGTTAGCCACTCAACAGACATTTAAGGAGTTGTGCTGTATGTGGTGGGGCATGGCAAAAAGGCAGAGCTCCTCACCCTCAGTGTTGAGCTCTACTTTATACACCATGAGCTAGAAGCACTCACTGCCTGAAGAATTTATTGTTCAGAAGAAGGAAGAATTGAGAAAAATAGGAATGGCTTAGCGGGGCTAACTAGGTGGGAAGACACAGAGGATTTTCAGGCATGGCTGCCCCCTCGCCCTATATCCCCATACAAAGTTCTCTCTCCTGTAGGTATCCTGCCAATTGGAGATTCCTTTAGAATCTTACTAAGCTCTTCTAAGTACCGGGTGGCAAGTACTTGGTGGTATTCATCAGCCATTCACACGTTAGTATGAATTATGCCAACATTTCTTCTAAATCCTCGCTGAGATTTGTTCTTTTGGTGGAAGAGCATTTTGACTGAAGGAGAGAGAAGGCAAGTAGATAATCTGGTGGGAAAGACATGTCTGGGTATTTGGGTGGGAGGTGGGAAGTAATGCAGTGAAAGCATGGTAAAGGCAGACACCAAACAGACATCCTTTTCTTGGACAGGAGAAATTTCTTCCTTTTTCTCCCTGTGCTTGAGATCTAAAAGTCTGGATAGCAATGCAGCTCAGCCCTTTCTTGTACAGGAGAAAATTCTTCCTTCTTTCTCCCCGTGCTTGAGATCTAAAAGTCTGGATGGTAATGCAGCTCAGCGCCATTCTAAGGTACGTAGACTCTTCCATGGGAAGCCTTGGGAACCTCCCTCCCTCCCATTATGACAGTGCTGCTCGGGGCTCCAAAGAGCCCCATCCAAGAGCTGCCAATGCTCTGTATGAACTGGGCAAGGTTCGAGAGCAGGGGGCTCACGTAGCACGCACTATTTCAAGACGCTTTCGATATACCTGTTCTATTGGTCTCAGAGCGTGGCAGGCATATAGCTTTTCTTGTTTGACATGATTTTTATACGAACTGGGTATTTTTACTTATTACTTTCCTTTCTGAAATGATGTCAATTAACATTTCAAAGCAGAATTATTTTGTTCAAAGGGAGAAAGAATATATAGTTGTCAATTCTAAAAACTCAGGTATAATATTGATTTTCAGATTATAAATAAAGCAGAATGTGTTATAAAAGAATAATGCGTCAACTTTTAGAGTACAAGGGACATCAGCATTTTTGTGTGTATGTGTAGGGGTCACATTCCCCTTTGAGAACATACTTTCAGACAGCATCTCCTTTCCTTCTTATATAATGGTGTGTCCAGTTTTGCATGCAAGTTTAGGGGTTTCTGGACCCTAGCACCTATCCATACATCCCTGGGACTTGGGGATACCTGGTCAGACCCTGTCGTGTAGACATGGACCAACGTTCTCTCCCAGGGCCCAGTCCTCACTGGGATCTGGGAGAGTGAACAGATACATCAAAGGGTACACCACGCCCACCCTACCTGTCTTTCTGGGGAAATGCACCTGATAAAATTCCCTCAGTAGCACATCTCCCAGAGCTCTGGGGGTGCACAAAGCACAGCAGAGTGTGAGCGAGCCTGCCGTTAATTCTTTCCATGGGTTACTCACCTCTCCCCAGATGCCGACTGTGTCCCGGATGTCGTTTTTGCAGTAAGAAAGCTGCCTGATACAGTTGTTGACTGCAACGCTACTTTTGCCAGGGGCGAGGTCCTCCTCTGCCATTTCCACCCATCCCAGAGAGCGCACAGCAAAACACTGCAAGACAAAGCACAGGGCATGAAGGCGTGCACTGACCGCGGCCGAGCTCCACCAACTTACCAAAATCCCCTGCCGGGTATGCCTAATGCATCTGCAATCACTACATAATGGCCCGATCATCACATCCAGCAAACAAATCCTCTATTGCTAGAAAATTAAATTGTGACTGCCTTTTGCTATTTTTTTTTTAAAGATTTTATTTATTCATTTGAGACACAGAGATAGAGAGAGAGAGAGCATAAGCAGGGGGGAGAGGCAGAGGGAGAGGGAGAAGCAGGCTTCCCACTGAGCTAGGAGCCCGATTTGGGTCTCGATCCCAGGACCCTGGGATCATGACCTGAGCTGAAGGCAGATGCTTAACCATCTGAGCCACCCAGGCGCCCCTGCCTTTTGCTCTTAAAAAAAATGTAGTGATGGGGCGCCTAGGTGGCGCAGTTGGTTAAGCATGTGCCTTTGGCTCGGGTCCTGGGATCAAGCCCCACATTGGGCTCCCTGCTCAGCACACAGCCGGCTTCTCCCTCTCCCTTGGATGCTCCCCCTGCTTGTGCTCTCTCTCTCTCTCTCTCTGTTAAATAAATAACATCTTAAAAAAATGTAGTGATAAATATCTTCTTGCCTACTTTTCTGTATATGTGTGTGTGTTCAGATTTTTTTCTTGGAGTAGATTACTAGAAGTAGAATTATAGCGCTAAAGAGTATGAGGATTTTTAAGCTCCTTTATCTATGATAAGGCAGGTTTTTTTTTTAAAATAGTAAGAAATGCAACACCCATGAGATCTGCTACATGTTAAACACCCAGAAAAAGACAATGGGAGAGAAAAAGAATTAAATACGTGTTTGGCACTTGTTTCTAATAATGATGAAGCAAAATGTATTCTCTAGTACCCAGAAATGAGGTAAGATGGGGAAAAAAATGTGCTTTCGTGATACTAGGTCTCAGGTTCCATAGCATATGTAATTAGCACCAAATCCTGAAAGCCTGCACAACGCACAAGCTCGCAAGACACCCTACAGCACAAGTTCCTTTTATTCTTTTATCCTTTCGAGATATTTTAAGATCACACTCCTTGCCTTCCTTTCTAAAGTTCAGTCATTCAATTGTTTCAAAATATAAAAAGTATCATATGCATGTTGCAACAAGAAAATTCAAAGATGTATAAAAAAAGGGAAACTCATGGGACATGCGAGGGCTAATTCGGCCACAGATCTGCTTGCTGCCAATTGCCAGGGACACCAAGTAGCCGGAATGGGGGTCCCTCCCAAGCTGCACAAGAGCTGAAGAAGCCGCCTACCTCCCCAGCAGGGGTGGGGCAGACAAGGGGCCACGTGTCTGCGGGCTGGGGGGAGCCGGCAGGCTGGCTCTCAGAGTTATCTTGTAAAGTTTCCGGAATGAACTTCATAATCAGACTGATAGAGGAGGCAGTTGGCTAGATAGGAGCATTGAGCAGGACTGGCCGGCTGTTGAAAAAGGCAGAAATTGCCAACCATCTCCGGAACGCCAACAGCGGGGAAAAACCCCGGGAGCATGCATTGTTCTTTCCTATAACCGCTGTCCTAAAGTACTCTCTGGCTCCATTATACTATATTTACACTGAGGTGCTGACCGCACCCCCGCTTGCAGGGCATGGCTGCCCTGGCAGTTCCAACAAGGACCATATAGGACCAAAACCTTCCCTTCCCCACCTATGGGAGGAATCCCTTAGGTGACGGAAGTCCCCCTTGGCCCGAGACGGCCCTCACTCTGACCTCAAAACTCATGCAAGTCTATAAACCAAGTAACCCTGACCCCCCATGAAGCAGCCACCTCTCGGCCCGCCTGCTAGCCCACCTACAGTGTACTTTTGCTCTGAACACTGTTAAATGCTTGCTTGCGTGAGTTTGGCCCTGAATTCCTTCTTGGCCAAACTCAAGAACCAAGTGAGGGAACAGGACTCGCCGCCAACCAAAGGAAGAAATGCTACACACCGTCCCAAAGTGACCACATTCGGTTCAGTTCAACCTTCCCTGTCTCATGCCCATGCCCCGACCGGCTGCCTCCTGTCTGAGTTGCTAACCACACTTTCAAGGGGGAAAAAAAACCCCACCAAAATACCAAAGACAATCTATTTAAGGAAACAGCACACAGATCCTCCTGTCCTAGAGGGGACGCAGGTAGGTATCTGCAAAACCACCCAGAACAGAACAGCAGCCCTGCCTGACGGTGGATACGATGCCTTCTACAAAGACACCAACAAGAGAAGGTCCTTGGGACAGCCGCCAAAGCTACTCAGCACTCCGGGTCCTGAGGGAAGTTTCTGGAAGACGCCCTCACGTGTCATCTGTGCCTGTGCATCCGGCGCAGGGAAACCAGCCCAAGGGGAAGAGGAGGCCCACAGGCACCAGGGCCGGCTGGGGACCCTCTGAGGGCGGCCTCGGTCAGCAGCTGGCCTGCCACCCCCGCCGTCAGCTCTGCCCGCTTCACCTGAGACCGAGCTGTGCTGCTCCTGGTGGATATGTCAGCTCCACGCGCCACAGCCCACCTTCCCCTGTTCACGACTTCCAGGGGCTGTGCCCTAAGTTTCCCCTTCTGCCTCCTGCAAGAAGCACCGTGTAGCTCACCAGCCTCCCTGCTAGTCAGTAAAAGCCCACTGCCGCAGCCCACCCCAGCCTGCCATTCTGATCTTGTTACAGCCCGCCTTCTAATGAAAAACTCGGCTTTCCCACCTTCGCCAAAAACGTGTGTGGTTTGTCCACACACCGCCAGGCAGTTCTCAGACTGGGGGGTCCTACAGTTCAACTCAATTCTGACTACCCGCTGACAGCATCAGATCCCACAGGTTAAGGGGCTGGTCCTACAAGACTGTCCCCCCGCGCCGCCCCCCCCGGACTTCAGATGCCAGTCACAAGCCCAGATTATAGATCGCTCCCCAGATTCAATTAATTTGCTAGAGCAGCTCACAGAACTCAGAAACATTTTACTTACTAGCTTCCACACCTGCTCCGGGCAACCCTATTCTCCCCAATCTGCATATGTTCACCATCTTTTGGGGTAAATTATTATAGTCACTCTGGTCAAATTCCAGTGAATTCAGCCTCTGGTGTGGAAATGGAGGCTTCATTACAAGGGCATGATTGATCAAACCACTGGTCATTGGTGATGGAACTCAATCTCCAGCCTTCTCGCCCCTCCCCAGGAGCCCAGGGGGTGGGGGGGGTGGGGGGTGGGACTGAAAGTTCAACTCTCTAAACACCTGGTGGGGTCCACTGGTGAGCAGCCCCCAGCCTTAGGTGCTCTCCAAACATCACATCATTCACATAACAAAAGACCCTTACTCACTCTCAGCACTTAGGAAATTCCAAGGGTTTGGGGAGCTGTGAGCCAGGAACCAAAGACCAAACACATGAGAAATATATCTTAACAACCAAATACATATTTTTCTTATAAATCACAGTATCACACTCCTCTAGTGCTCTCCTCCAGCATCAAAAAAGAAATGGAAACTCTCCCAGTTTGGAGAACAGGTTTATCATCCCAACCTATTTTAATAGCAGAAAATAAGCACAGCAGAGTTGTATCATCTGACACAACAAACAAGACATTGTTCAAATGTCAAAGGTATTAATTCATTTACTCCTTATTTTAATCCTTTGATTATTAATAATCAAATCCAATCATCAAATAGGATTATTTGATTAATAATAATCCTATTATTATAAATAATTATTTGTGTGTACCCATTTTATAGGTGAGGAAAGAGAATGAAGCACAAGGCCAGTAAGTGGAGAACTCAGGGTTCTGGGCTCCCACTCTTAACCACTCTCTATATGCTTGAGATTTTACTGGAAGGACAGGGCCAGATGGGGCTACGTCCACAGAAAGGCTCAAGAACAGTCAGCAACATCGGTAGAGTTTTGAGTGTACATGGCCCAGAGCAGGGACAGCCTGGTTGAAATCTTAGCTCTGATTTACTGGTACTGTGATCTTGCCAAGTGATTTATAAAATCCCAATCTTTTTTTCATTTATAAAAATGGAAAGAAAACTCAGTGAACATTTGTTGAATGGAAAGAGCAAATGAACAGAGTGCTACAATAAATTTTAGCTGGAGTCATTAAAGGGGGGAAAATGAAAGGATATGATTTGTAGTGAGTGGGACCACACGCTCCAATTGTCCCCAGGACAGTTCTGGTTTATGTTTGTTGTTCTAGCAAAATTACTGAGTGGCTCCTTTTACTGTCAATAGGGTCCCAGTTTGGATAGTAAAGTATTATAGTCACTCTGGTCAAATTCCAGTGAATTCAGCCTTTGGTGTGGAAAACAGAGGTTTGGATAGGCTACTGTGATATGCCCAAGCGGAAATAGGGTTCAAGATCAACAGAAGCTGCTATCAGTTGAGCATCTGGTGATCCCAGCAGAGGTGAACAGTAAAACACTGCGGGGTGGTCATATGCCCTTAAAACTAGAAGCCAGGAACACATTTTCCTACTCTCTTTAATTGCCTGCTACAAAATCCTACAGCCTATAAATACTCAAAAGAATTTATCAACAACTAGGAAGGCAAAAAAGAATATTGGCTGCTTTTTGTCCCTTGAGTTCAAGAATACTTGGATCTCAATTTAAACAAGCTCACTAAAATTCAAGGGTATTTTTCTTGGCTAAGAAATGCCAATGGTACATGAAATATATTGTATGTCACGCTGATAAAAAGAAAACAAGAGTCCTAACTATATGATTACAAGGAATTTAAGTAATTTTCCTTGTGCAGTTTTGCTGCTGTTGTAATTTGGTTTCTGATCCATAAAGCCTCACCACCAGTCCCCATGGCTTTAATAAAAGGAACCACGTGTAAGCGGAATAACCGAGTTCGTCCTCCCAAGGAACCAAGCCGCCAAGAGCAACCTGCGCTGTTTGGTGCTGCCCCCCTGTGGTGGAGAAGGTTTACAACCACCACCACTTTTCCTTAAGCTTGGAGATGATGATGTCCGATGCTATCAGCTCTGGGAAAAAACACTTGTTTCA